CAAGGGGGGGGGGGGGGGGGGGGGTACACAGACTTTATCCCTACCTCATGAAGGTAGAGAGGCTGATTCAGAAAGGCCCTCTGCTCAAGTAAAGCATAATAGAGTAGGTTTGGAAAGGAAATACAGTTAGACATAATAAACAAGAAAAGAACAATATTGACAACAAATAATATGCTAACTGAAGTAAAGCAAACAACAAGTGTTTATAAAATCAAAGAATAAGATAGTAGGGGAGTAATAATAATGATACTGGTAAGTAAACTATACATCATATAACATAATTCTCTTAGTTGGCTGGTCTTAATGACTTTACCTGGTGAATTTTAACAAATTTGTGATAAATGGTAATTTTTCCTCCTGATCAAAGAGGATAACTATGCAAACTCCTAAATTAATACCTTTAGATTAGAAAGGAAAGTCGAGTGTTTACTTGGTGAAGTACTGATGCAAGTTAAAGCAACAACAAGCATGAAGTGTCAATATGCCCATTTTCAAGGTAGCATGCGCCCCTAAAAGTAGTTGAATTTGGTGGCAACATTCAGGGACTGCTCAACTAGAGGTGTTAGAAAGCGAATTAGAAATCAAAGTTCAAATGACCAACCCTGGAAATCCGTCTGACCTAGAAGACTGAAACATTATAGCTAAAACTACACCACGTTTACGTGAAAGTCATATTATGTGTAAAGAAATGGATCTTGAGCATATTCAACCCAAAAGTTTGCCCACGTGGGGAGGATTGTCCAAGATCATACAAGGAGGTCAATTACCCCTTCCAAATCCAATGTGGGATTCTTACACTCCCCGACATGCCCAGACCTCGTTAATTTGAGTGTGGATAATATAGTATGGGGCCCAACTTCGGTGAATTAAGATATGGAATAATCCTGGCTCTGATACCATGTAAAAAAATGGATCTTGGGCCTAACTCAACCCAAAATCTAGAGGGAGGATTGTCTAAAACCATATAAGGAGACAATTACTCATTAAATGTCCAATGTGAGACTCTTACATTGTTGAGTCCCACATTCATGGAATGAGGAGAATTTGGGCTCTTTATGAGCAATCTTCCTTTCTTTGAGCTTAGCTATTAGGGTTGAGTTAGGCCCAAAGTCCATTTAACATTATGCTTTGGTAGGGGGGATTAGATCAGAACAACTATGAATTGGAAAGTTTGAGAAGAGGTTGGCAACATGGCAAATGCAATACCTCTCCTTCGGTGGTAGAGTAACACTTATCAATAGTGTTCTAGACAGTTTACCTACTTATTACATGGCCTTGCTCCAATGCCAAGTGAGGTTATAGAACAGATTGACAAGATAAGAAGGGACTTCCTCTGGAAAGGTAACAGGGAGAAACACAAATTATATCTCATCAAATGGGAGAAGGTCACACAACCAAAATACCAAGGAGGTCTTGGCATTAAGAACCTTGCAGCCCACAACAAAAGTATGATGATGAAGTGGCTTTGGAGATACAACTTGGAAGACGCAGGGCTCTGGAAAGAGGTCATCATAGCTAAGCATGGAAGGCTGAATCAATGGTGCTCAAATATTACTACACTTCCTTACGGAGTGGGACTGTGGAAGAGTATTAGGATGTTGTGGGATACATTTGATCAGAACGCTTACTTTGAATTGGGCAATGGTGTACTCCTAAAATTTTGGACAGACAAATGGCTTGGAAATACCACTCTTCAGGAGGATTTCCCAGATCTGTTTAGAATTGCTCAAGATCCCAATTCTATTATTTCTGCTAATAGAGAAGGGATCAATTGGGATCTAAGATTTAGAAGAAATATGCACGATTGGGAAGTGAATGATCTGGTAGACCTTTTTGCTAGACTACAACATTGTCACATTAATCTCCAGGCAACTGATAAGCTCAAATGGGGACACAGAAAGGAGTTTATACAGTCAAGGAAGGGTATCAACAGTTGTGCTCTAGAAACCCCGTGATAGCTAACTGGCCCTGGAAACTCATTTGGAGGACCAAGCTACCACC